AGTATTTTCCAATTTAATTGGTACATGTATATTGATTAGGTAGTGGCTCTTTGTTTTCCTTCTTTTTATTTATGTTTGTGGTACATTTTTAGAGCTGTCTTTTCTCTCTAATAAAGTGTTCAGGAAATAGAATGGTTTGGTCAGGACCCTTGCCTTGGGTCCAGTTGGGTGTGGTTCACACATCCTTTGTAAGCAAATTGTGTGTGTGTGTGTGTGTGCGCACGTGTGTAGTTAGTGCGCATGTGCACAAATGTATCTTTTTAGTTTTGTTGCTATTGTGTTCTTCAGAGTTTGTGAAGCAGACTGGCTAACTACTGCCTTGAGCAGCCACCGCCATGCACGCAGCCATGCTTTCCATCCTGCAGCTTCTAAGGACCTGTTTGCCAGTTACCTAGCTCGTAGACCTGCAAGTGAGGGGTCTCATGACCCAGCCTGGTGTGTGAAGGGTCTCGTGACCCAGCCTGGCGTGTGGGGGTTCTGGGGACCCAGCCTGGAGTGGGAGGGGTCTGGTGACCTGGCCTGGTGTGTGAAGGGTTTGTGACCCAGTCTGGACAACAGGCTTGAGGGATCTGTGAGCTCTAGACCCAGCCCTAGCTCTACAATTGGCCCAGTCGGCAGGATTACTGGCAGGTAAAAAGAGCTCCACAATTGGTGATGTCAGCAGGATTCTGATGTTAAAAGTAGCTTTACAATTGGCATCACAAACGGGATTCTGAGCAGATACAGGTGCCAAAAGTCCTTGGAAGAAGGAGGAAATGTGGCTACTTTTGAATATGCTCTGCCCTATGGCCACCTTCCTGTTGACCAGGATCTGGTTGCTGCACACTGTACTGCAAGGCAGCATAGTCCAGATACTACAACACAAAACCTCTTGGGAAGGGGAGGAAATGTGGCTGTCCTTGAGCATGTGGTGCCTGGTGGCCACTTTTCTGCTGACTGGAGCCTGGCTCCTGCTCACTATGCTGCAAACCGATCGAGATTTGCAGCAGAAAGCAGAGCTGTTGGAAGCACGGGTAAATGTCCTGGAGGATGACATGCAGTGACTGGCCACGCCTGCCTATCACACCAGGGAAGATGACCAGCCCAGTGGTGAGTTGAGGGAAACCGTGTGTCTCCAGGCATGACCTGCTATGCACGAGAAATTGAGACAGTAAAGCAGTAGAAACAGGGAGAGCCCCTGGCTGCTACAGCTGTGGGACCTAGGGGTGGGTGGTGTAACGTACTCTAGAGACTATATAGTAAGCGCATGTTGCATTTGTCTAAAGGCAAAAGACTCGGAGGGTGCCACTTAAACCTGATGGCCAGATGGGTGCTGTATAAACCCGATAAAAGAGTGCCACATGCAGATGGGCAGATGACCCAAGGATGGGTGCCCCTGCAGAATTTCAAGTATGTTTTCACCTGGTGAAAAGGTGGAAAATTTAGTCTCCATTACTACATGCCTTTTTCGGTGGCAGCAGTTACAGGAGAGGTGCAGATATGCACAGGGGCAGGGCAGCAACTCCCTGATGGACTGGGTGAATGTCTGGCTGTTTGAACTGTGTGGGCGAATGCTGCAGAACTGCCTGAGACTGAGTGAATAGCCGGTGTAAGCCGAGCTGATTGAAGTAATTCAAGAGCTGGGGATGGGGCAGCCAAGTGCTAAGAACCAGGACAGTGGGAAAAAAGCCCTAAAGCCATTTGAGAAGACTGGAAGGGTGCCCCACCCATCACAGACCCTGAGGCCTAGGAGAACTGAGTTGTCCTAGAAGACAGACCTGGGGCACTGCTGCCCTTGGCAGACTGCTCTCTGCATCCCAGCTGCTCTGGCTGGAACAATCCTGCCTCAGTACCTCGGAAGAGCAAAAGCCAAAAACCTTGGTGGCATTCACATTGTGTTAAGTTTGCAGGCCAGCAGTATGTGAGAGCAGTGGAAGCATGGCAGCCTCCACCTAGATTTCAAAAGATGTATGAAAAAGTTGGGGGTCTTTGGTGGAGACCTGCTGCAGGAGTGGAGCCACTGCAGAGGTCATCTACAGAGCAATGGGAAGCAGAAAAGTGGAGTCAGAGCCCCCACAGAGAACCCCTACTGAGGAAATGTCTTGTGGAGCCAGGATGGCAGGACTGCTACCAGGAGCCCAGAACCGTGAGGCTGCTGGCAGTGTGCAGCGCCAGCCTGCAAAAGCTGCAGGCACCAGGGCAGCTCAATGGGCTGCACTTGGTGGAGCTGTAGGAGCAAGGTTGTCCAATACTTTAGGGGTCCAGGTGCCCCAGTATGCTTATTGTTAGCCCTGTTTGGGTTTTGGATTTGTTTGGGGCCTGTTTTTCCTTTCTATTTCTCCCTTCTGGAATGGGAATGTGTAACCAATGTCTGTCCCACCGTATCTTGGAAGTAGATAAACTTGTTTTTTGACTCCTTACAGGTTCATGGCTGAAAGGACTTTTGCTTTTGGTCTCAGAGGAGACTTTAGACTTTGGACTTTTGAGTTAGTGCTGCAACAAACTAAAGACTTTTGGGACTGGGATGGAATGTGTAATATGTGAAAGTAAGGGTCTATCCTCGCTAAGGGAACACTGCGGAAGATTCTGAACACGTAGATTGTGTACGGCAAGGAATCTTGGGGTGGATTGTTGGGAAAATAGAATGGTTTGGTCAGGACCCTCGCCTCACATACAGTTGGGCATTGTTCAGCACGTCCTTTGTAAGCAAATTGTGTGTGTGCGTGTGTGTGTGTGTGTGTGTGTGTGTGTGTGTGTGTGGAGTTAGTGTGCATGTTCATGTGCACAAATGTATCTTTTTAGTTTCGTTGCTATTCTTGTGTTCTTCAGAGTTTGTGAAGTAGGCTGGCTGACTGTGGCTTCTAAGGACCTGTTTGCCAGTTACCTAGCTCATAGACCTGCGTGTGAGGGGTCTGGTGACTCAGGCTGGTGTGTGAGGGGTTTGAGACCCAGTCTGGACAACGGGCTTGAGGGGTCTGTGAGTTCTAGACACAGCCCTAGTTCTACAGTTGGCCCAGTTGGCAGGATTATAGGCAGGTAAAAGAGCCCGACAACTGGTGTAGTTGTGTAGCTTTACATAAAGGAAAGGTAATTTTATACATCTGATGCAAGCAGTTCTTTATTAGGAAGGATGAGATGAATGAGGAAGAATGAATCTGTTATACTTACTACCTATAATAGTGTGATATTAATTTGCCACTGTAGGGAAAATATAGGAAAATGGTCAGGGCCCCTCAGATGTTCAGAATCTTGCCAAGCATTATGCAGGTGCGCCCAGGTATTCCTTGGCTATTGTCTAATGTAATTGTGTATGTGCGCCCAGGTGTCCTGGGTTATGGACTTAAGTATAAAGGATGAGTGGTCTGATCCATGGGCCCCCCATTGCCCCCAGGATGCCCCCAGGGAGGCTGCTACTGCTACTCCCAGGGGGGCTCCAGGGAGGCTGCTACTGCTGCTGGAGGCTGTTACTGCAAGCTGTTGCTGCTAGTGCCCCCAGGATGCCCCAAGAGGCCACCGCCACTGCTGCTTCTGCTGCTACTGCTGCTATCGCTGAGGACTGAGCTCATGTCATCTGCCAGTGGCTCCCGGGATCTTTCCCAATTACCTAGAGTGGACCTGCGTGTGAAGGGTCTATGACCCAGCCTGGCATGTGAGGGGTCTGGTGAACCAGTCTGTACAATAGGTTTGAAGAGTCTGAGCCCTAGCCCTGACAATACAGATAGAAAACTTAGTGTAACTAAAATAAACATTTTGGCTTCAGTTATGAATTTCTTTAGCAATACAATTGGCTACAATGGCAGGAGTCCAACAATAGCCCCAGCCATACAATTGGTGTAGGCACTTAGTGATTGCTGTAACCCTACAGTTAACTTTTTTACTCACATACCTGAAAAGTGTGGTAGTGATATCTTTCTTTTTAAACTGCAAATTTTTCTTTATTATCTCAGTATTTGAGTAAAATGAAATACAATAAATGTTTACATTATCTCTCTGACTTATTTTTAGTACTTTTTTCTTTTGAAAGAAATACTATATTTATTATAAAGGACCATGTTCAAAATATAAGATTCCAGTGATTTACAAATATTTTTACACTGTGATAATTCACAGTGCAATTAACATTTGTGGGTCTCTAACTTTATTAAATATTTTGCATGATTTATACTGGCAATTCTAATAGTATCATGAGTCAAAATTACTTGGGTTGATAAAACCAATGATTATATAGTATATAGACTCAGTTTACTTAAAATGAAACAATAATTTTTTTGGAATTTTGTGGAAAGGATGGAGTATCATGTAATTCCAAGTAACATGAATGTCACCTGTGTTTTATTAAATGGTAAGGCGTTTATCATACCAATGATTATATAGTATATAGACTCAGTTTACTTAAAATGAAACAATAATTTTTTTGGAATTTTGTGGAAAGGATGGAGTAGCATGTAATTCCAAGTAACATGAATGTCACCTGTGTTTTATTAAATGGTAAGGCGTTTATCATGATTCCCCCCCCCCTGAAAAAAATAATAATTTTATTAAAGTTTTTTTATTCATTTCTACTTTTGTTTACCCAGATCTGTGGAATGTGATTCACCGTACGCATGGCACAGAGTAGGCACTCAGCTATTATATAAATTAGTGAATTGTATTAATGAGACGTATAGATGGATGGTTGTGTTCAGACTTCTCTTGTAAGGAGAGTATTGAACATTGAGATCACAGTGCTGGCTGTGTATTTCTACAGCTATTAAATGTAATCAAGGTAGTTACCTCCTAGCATTGTAATGATTAGAAGATATCATGCATGGAAAGCATTTAGAAAAATGCTTGGCACCATAAACATTCAATAAATGTTAGCTATTACTAGTATGTGAATGATGTTAGAGTGGAAAAACTTTAGTAGGTATGAAATTATAATTCACATAGGTATTCTCTTCCATGTCATGTAATTAGTTTTAATAGACTTTTTAATGATGCATGTTGTTTCTTATTTTTAATTTCTTTAACGTATCTTTTAGGACTGAAAGAATTGTCCCCACTTCCTCTAAATCTCAAACGTTTATACAAAGAGACCCTAGAAATTGAACCCATCTTAATAATTATTTCCCCGGGTGCTGATCCCTCTCAAGAACTTCAAGAACTTGCTAATGCTGAAAGAAGTGGAGAGTGTTATCACCAGGTCAGTACATGTTACCCTGCTGTTTTTCCTCCAGCTATTGCTATTTCTGCCACACTTGATCTTATTGGTGAAATGGACTTTTTTTTTTTTTGTAGTATGATAAATAATGTCCCCAAAGATGTCCATGTCCTAATCTCTAGAACCTATGAATATGTTATCTTACATGGCAAAAGGAACTTTGCAGATGTAGTTAAGGATCTCGAGATGGGAAAATTATCCTGGATTATCCAGGTGGGCCCAATATAACCACAAGCGTCTTTATAAGAGGGAAGCAGGTGACTCAGAGGGAAGGCAGGAGATATGATGATAAAAGTAGAGGTCAGAGAGGAGAGAATGTTATGCTAGTTGCTTTGAAGATAGAGGGGCAACAAGCAAAGGAATGGAGGTGGCTTTCAGAAGCTAGAGAACACAATGGAAGGATTCTCTCCTAGAACCTCCAGAAAGAACAGAGCCATTTAGTATTACCTTTATTTTCAAACCCAGACAGAACTTGATTTTAGACCAGTGAGACCTCCAGAAGTCTGGTAAGATAATAATTTGAGTTAGGGCACTAAATTTGTGGTAACTTGTTAGAGCAGTAATAGGAAACTAATATATTTGCCTAAATTTTGAGAATAGCTTTAAAAATTTTACCTGGATGCTTTTACTAAATAAATTACAGTAGTGTTTACCTGCAATTTCTTTACTTTAAGTGAAAGAAATACATAAATGTTTTGAGTAAATACGTAAATATTTTTTTCCTGAGGTAGAAGCGTTTGTTCAGATTGCATCTTTCTTTTTATTCAATGAACATGCAAATTTGAAAATTAAATTTATGAATTTAACCTCATTTTTTTTTTTTGGCTGGTTAGTACAGGGATTGAACCCCAAATCTTGGTATTATTAGCACCACACACCACCCAACTGAGCTAACTGGCCTTACCCTCAATTTTTGACAAGTGAATAAATACACCTTTTTCACTGGGGAAATAATTAATGATTTTAAAAAAGCAAAATACTTCATAGCAACCAAAAATTGAAAAGTAAGCATTTCACAAGTAAGAATATAAACAGAAGATGGCAATATAGTAGAGGTGTTAGGCTTAGTTGTGCAGGTTTTGCAGTGGCTAATTCTATGAAGTTCCATTCAATTATAGTAGATTAGTATATTCATTAGGACAATATTCACTTATCAATGAGGTATCTTAAGGAGTTGGGGAAGTCCTTTTCTACAGGTTATACCTGTTAAGAGTGACTTTGGCAAGAATATTAAACTATTCATATAAACTTTTAATTATTTGATATTCTTGGAGAAGATGATTAATTCCTGAAATTAATTTGATTCTTCTTCAAAACTTAATATTAAAGCCAGTTAAGGAGGTTTAGGGGTTATTATTATTGAATCTCTTATAATGTTATGTTACATGTTTGCAGATCTGTTTTTTTTAACTTGGTTTTTGATTTTGTTTTTGCAGGTTGCCATGGGTCAAGGTCAAGCTGACTTAGCAATTCAAATGCTAAAAGAATGTGCCCGAAATGGAGACTGGCTCTGTTTGAAGAACTTACATCTTGTTGTATCTTGGCTGCCAGTTTTGGAAAAGGTAGATTCAGATAAATGTGTACAAATAATATTTAATATACTCAATTCCAGTAATCTTCAAAGAGCATCAATATTCAAATGTCATGCATTATTCATTATGTTTTCATTATGTTTTTAAAACAATATTTGATAAGAAATCATTTTAGATTTAAGTATTTTCTTCTTAAATATGTACATTTGTGTTCAACAAGATGGATCTTTTAATAGGAAGTCTATAAAAGGCATATTAAGGGAAACCAAAAAATTATTAATTAGGATTGACAGGGAAGCTTAGAGAATTTTTCCAGAAGAAAAATAGGGAGATGCTTTAAAGGATTGTAGAAGACCTATTTATTCCAATACCTTCTCTTTATGTGATAGTTCTGTTGACCTGTACAGGGAGAAAAGACATAAGGGGAAGTCAGAAGGAACTGTATAACTTCTAGGTGCTAAGGAAGCTGGAATGTAAACTGGAGCAATCATTTCATTTAACTCAAATGGCCTGAGGAGGAAAATAACCTTAAGACAGAACAAATCACTTGATAGGTTTTAAATGCAAACCTGGATTTGTCTAGTGGTCATTTAAGAGAATAGAAAATGGTCTTTGGCAGTTAGAAATGACTCCAAAGAGATGTTCCTCTAAGGCTAAGTGGGGTTTAGCTAAAGATAGGCAAAGAAAGGATATCATGATTAATTCCAGCAGCCCAAGTAGTAATACAGTGTTAGAGCTTTGCATGCTAATACAAGGAATGAAGAGGTGTCCTTGACAGTACTGGAAGGGCCAGGCAGGGAAGTGTGGGTGAAATGAAGTTAGATGGTTGGTTAGATGGATGTGAAATACCCTGAGAACTGTGCAGAAGAGTTTGGAGTTTTTGTACTGGGACTCAGAGAGCCAAAGTGGGTCCTTAGCAGGAGAGTTAGTAATTAATTAATTAATCTGGCAGTAGTGTACAGAATAAAACCAAACAGAATAGAGTAGATTGAGAGAGGCCCTAGCGTAGTTGTAAGGTGTGGAAAATTTGTGCAGTCCTAGTAAATTGGCAATTTCAGCACCTTCACAAAATAGGTAATCAATAAATATATATATATATATTTTTGTCTTTTTTCCGTGTCCGGCAATGGATCGCAACCCTCAGTGTCGCCCCCGTACCGGACCGGGACCGGCAACGGGATCGCAACCCTCGACGTTGCCCCCGCGCCTCGCTCAGCCAGTGAGCGGGAACCGGTCTGTATGTGGGATCCGAACCCTCGGGCGGGAGCGCTGCCGCGCTTCCCAAGCGGCGCACTATCCAGTGCACCACCGGGCCGGCCCATAATCAATAAATTTTTAAATGAGTTTACAAATGAGTGAGTAAATCGATGGACCATGGTGATTCATTGTAATCAAAAGAAGATATAGATTTTGGAACAGACATATATATGAACATTCATGTAATTCTTTTATTACAGTTTTCTATAAAAATCACTAATGTGTAAAAATATTGTGAAATATGAAATGTGAAAATTCATGTCTGAATTATGTTTTGTTTTAAAACGTATAAAGAAGACTGGTGAATACTTGAATCCTGCTTCCTGTTCCAAACAGTTGATCGATAACTATTAATCTATGCAAAACATATTATAGTTATTACCTTGGAAGCAAATCTTAATTAGAGCTTTTCAAAGCATATAGGGTGGATTATATTATAAAAGTTTGAAAACAATTGATTGATTTTCTTTTCTCTCGTGTTAACCTAAATAGCAGAGAGAGGCCTTCTAAAAGAAAATGATATTTATTCAGGAATAGGGCATCATGATGGGAATACATGTGCCATAGTAAACTATGCGCATATTCGGGGAGGTAAAGGAAGAGAAAGGATTTTAAAAGCAGAAGAGAAAAGTAATAAATTTGTTTTGAAACAAAAAGAGCATTGGGTACAGGACCTTATTTCAGGAATTGACGTCAATTCATTAGTGGAAACAGTTTCAGGTAAGTATTTTTGTACATCCGGCTAGCTATCCTGGTGATTTGTGTAGCAAGTCACAGTTTGAAAAGTCCTTGGCGACAGTTTTTGTGACAGGCATACAAGTGTGCATAAGGGAGTCTGTAATAGTAATAGTTGTTATTATAGGCATGTATGCACGCGGGCCCTTCCTTCACAGCCTTCGGCTTTGTTTTTAGATTTTGACAAATGTGACTCCCTTTTGATTCTGACAGCTTTCACGCTTGGAAAGGTAGTATGAATTGTTTTTGTACAAATTTATGTAAATCCAACTATATCACAAATGTATTGTTTCATTACCCTTTGAAAAATTTTTTTAAGTGTGCTAACCCAAGGCAAAATTATACACAAATTTTACATTTTAAGACTTTGAAGTGTAAATACAATTTGTCACTTACAATTTTAAGTAAGCACAGTGTTTTCTGCCATTTTTTGGCCATCTTAGCTCTACATTTCACATGATATTAAATGAATGTTAGGGTCTGACATTATAATTTTGACTTTGCTCTTTTAGAGGTATCAAAATTTATTTTGTCATTCATTCATTCATTTAATTTACAGACACTTCCTTGAATACAGAAAAAAGCCAGGAATTGTGCTAGGTGCCAGGTACAAAATTGTGCTAGCTACAAATTTTGTACCTGCTTTCTAGGAACTAGAAAGTTTAGAAGAGACAGACCACATTAATAAATAACTATATTGTGGTACAGTGAATACTACTGAAGAGAATTCGAAAAATCATATGGGTGACTAATTTTGCTCGGGATTCTATTAGTGAAGAGTTGGAGAAGATATTCCCCTAAGACATGATGTTTAAGTTGTATTTTGACAGATGAGTAAGAATTTGTCAGGTTACAAGAGAATATAGGCAGAAGGAATATCATGAGTAAAAAGAGGCATAAAAATGTGAATAAATGACTAAAATGTACAGTATGAGGGGCCTGGGTAAATGTATAGTGACATATGTATCTCTATTTAAGTAGAATTTTATTGTTTTTGTAAACAAGGAATTGAATACCCTTCAACCTAAAGATACCTTTCGTCTTTGGCTCACTGCTGAAGTTCATCCCAACTTTACTCCTATTTTACTACAGTCAAGTTTGAAGATAACATATGAGGTAAGAAGATTTTAAATTCAGATCACTAATTGTATGAGAGCAGTAATCTATACATGCTTTCTAAAGCTTTATAGAACAACCATCTATTATACAAAGTGTCCAAAAACTTCCTTTTACACTTAGATGGGATATGATACACAAAAATAATAGCATATTATAAAGATATATTTGAATGGTTTTTTTCAAATTTTATTTTATAACTTTTTTTATTTTTATTGTGGTAAAAAAAAACACAATATAAAATTTACCATCTTAACCATTTTTAAGTGTACAGTACAATAGTGGTAACTATATGCACGTGTTGTGCTCTCTAAAACTTCTTCATCTTGTGAAGCTGAGCTTCTATATCTGTTGAACAACTCCCCATTTCTACTTCTCTCCAGCCGCTGTCAACTACCATTCTACTTTCTAGGAGTTTGTCTTTTTGTGATTGGTTTATTTCAGTTAGCATAATGTCCTCAACATGTTTCAGCATGTGACAAGATTTCCTTTTTTGAGACTGAACAACATTTGATTGTATGTATATACCACATTTTCTTTTTCCGTTCATCTATCCAATGGACATTTAGATCTTCTACTTCTTGGCTGTTATGAATAACGTAATGAACATAGTTGAGCATGTATCTCTTCAAAATCCTATTTTCAGTTATTTTGGATATATACCCAGAAGTGGGATTGCTGGATCACATGGTAATTCTATTTTTAATTTCTTGAGGAACCTCCACACTGTTTCCCATAGTAGCTACACCATTTTATACTCCCACTAACAATGCACAATTTCTCTGCATCTTTGCTAATTTTTTTTTGTGGTTCTTTTGTTTTTTACATAGTATTCATCTTAATGGGTGTGAGATGATATCTCATTGTGTTTTTGATTTTTATTTTTCTGATGATTACTGATGTTGAGCATCTTTTCATATGCTTGTTGGCAACTTGTATGTTTTCTTTGGAGAAATGTCTATTCAAGTCCTTTGCCCATTTTTAATTGGATTATTTGTTTTTGTTGTTGAGCTGTAGGAGTTCATTATATTTTCTGGATACTAACCCCATAGCAGATATATGGTTCACAAATATTTTCTCCAATTTTGTAGATTGCCTTTTCACTCTTGTGTTTGCTGCAGAGATGTTTTTAAGTTTGGTTTAGTCCCATTTTCCTGTTCTTTTTTTTTTTGCCTATGCTTTTTGTTGCCATATCTAAGAGAACATTGCCAAACTCAGTGCCATGAAGCTTTTCTCCTATTTTCTTCTAGGAGTTTATAGTTTCAGGTCTTACGTTTAGGTGTTTAATTTGTTTTGAGTTAACTTTTGTACATGGTATAAAGTAAGCATTCAGCTTCCTACTTTTGCATGTGAATATCCAGTTTTCATATCATTAGTTTTTGACATAGCTAAATTAGATTTTCAGTCCTTCCATCCTTCCATCGATCCTTCCTTCCTTCCTTCCTTCCATCGATCCTTCCTTCCATCGATCCTTCCATCGATCCTTCCTTCCATCGATCCTTCCTTCCATCGATCCTTCCTTCCATCGATCCTTCCTTCCATCGATCCTTCCTTCCATCGATCCTTCCTTCCATCGATCCTTCCTTCCATCGATCCTTCCTTCCATCGATCCTTCCTTCCATCGATCCTTCCTTCCATCGATCCTTCCTTCCATCGATCCTTCCTTCCATCGATCCTTCCTTCCATCGATCCTTCCTTCCATCGATCCTTCCTTCCATCGATCCTTCCTTCCATCGATCCTTCCTTCCATCGATCCTTCCTTCCATCGATCCTTCCTTCCATCGATCCTTCCTTCCATCGATCCTTCCTTCCATCGATCCTTCCTTCCATCGATCCTTCCTTCCATCGATCCTTCCTTCCATCGATCCTTCCTTCCTTCCTTCCTTCCTTCCTTCCATCGATCCTTCCTTCCATCGATCCTTCCTTCCATCGATCCTTCCTTCCATCGATCCTTCCTTCCATCGATCCTTCCTTCCATCGATCCTTCCTTCCATCGATCCTTCCTTCCATCGATCCTTCCTTCCTTCCTTCCTTCCTTCCTTCCTTCCTTCCTTCCTTCCTTCCTTCCATCCATCTGAATAAATGGCTAAATAAATAGATAAATCCCTCTAATATGTAGTGCTAGGCAGATCCCACCCAGACCTGATTCATCTAAACCTATATGTTTGTAATTATGTTCTATAAGTTGTCAAAGTCCTAAATAAAATAACACTGAATTAAAAACTTTTAAAAACTATTAAAGAAGTTTTGCTTGTATTTTCTCTCAATTTGTAGAAATGTCTGTTTTATGTAATTTTTTTTCTGAAGAAAAATAGCATCTTACTATTTATAACTAGTTGTTTTAGATCGGTACTGCTACTCTTATTTTTCGTGTGTAGGTGTTAGTCTCATTTAAGGAAGAAGAAGGATAAGGATTAATTCAGGAATGCAAAGATTATATTTAATATTAGAAATGTTAATTGAATGTTAGTATAAGGTCTAGTAAGAAAGAAGCTTTCCAGAATCTTCTCTAGCTACTCTTCCAATATACCCTTCAACTAATCTATGTTCTAGAACTGAAATATATAAACACACATACACATATATTTTATTGTCTTTAAAAATTGTTAAATCTTCATTTAGTTTTTTCTTTTTTTGTTTAGTTGCCATAGTTGGTTTAAAAATCTTTTTCCAAATAACTGATATCATACTTATGAATTTACTTTTTGCTTATTCTTTTTTTACTCACTGAATTTCCTTTTCTTCCTGTATTATTTCTTCATTATGCTTTCTTTAGATTTTTTTTTTGCTTTGTTCCTTCTGACTTCTTAAGCTGAATGCTTAATTATTGTTTACTCACTTGCATTAGTATTGAAATTATTCTGTCTGTGAATTTACAGTTGAATGTATTTTTGTATTTATCTCATAATTTTGATATATTGTTTTTGTTATTTTTCATGAATCTGTATTTGTGTATGATTTTCTTTATAATTTTATATGACTTATTGATTTACATGATCTTTAGTATAGTGCCTTTTAAAAAACTCTAAGCTGTTTGGTTTTCTATTAACTATTCATGTTTTGTTGAATAGTGTTCAGAAAATTTGGCCTAGTCTATGATGATTTTTTTGTAACTGTTTCATAAACATAAACAGTTTTCATTTTAAAAGTATAAATTTGGTAGGTACTTAGTACTTCGATAGTGTGTTTTCTTTTTTTAAAACAAAAAAAGTCTTTGTTTAAGAAATAACAAGGATTGCAAAGGGAATGACTGTCCTTTGTAGTAGGTATTCTCTCTAAGAAAACGTTAAGTAGCAACTTGAGTTATATTTATTCTTTTAAAATTAGAAACCATTTCAGAGAAAGATTTTACTTTTAAAATAACATGGGCAAAGATGTGTTATGTTATTTTTTCACATTAGAATTCTTTTTTGGTGGATTTATTTTGCTTGTTTTCCAAGAATTTGAAAATTTTCCTTTAGCACTTTGATTTAAAAATATAATATAAACAGATCTGGTGATATGGGCGAGTTGAGTACTAGTCCAATACAGAATTTCAGTCCCTGGGTTTTTCAGTCCCTGAGTTTGTATTTACAGTTATGAGCCTAGCACTGTCACGTAATACCCACTTTAACTTTTGTAGATGAATGTGCAAGGAAGATTAGTTGACATTATATATAAACAGTAATGTTGAAGTCCTCATGGAAATTCAAGTAGCAATTATTGGGGGAAAACTGGCATACAAAACTCAAATGCCTGCCACATAACGATCAATATCATATTGGTATTGTAAATGATGATTTAGTTTCAGGAAAAAAAAATGGCTCAATGATCATATAAAACTTATTTGGTTATTTTGAATATTATTGGCTGTGCAGAGTTTTTTTTTTTTGGTCCTTTTTGAGACCAGCCACACTGCGCTCAGCCAGTGAGCGCACCTGTCAGCCCTATATAGGATCCTAACCCGCGGTGGGAGCGCTGCTGTGCTCCCAGTGCCGTGCTCTCCTGAGTGTGCCACGGGCTCGGCCCCAGAGTTTTTTAAATGAAAAATTATTCTGGACATATAATCTAGATGAACTGTTCAATATAAGGAATTTAGAATTACTTTTATATTTGTACGTTTTGAAGTAACATAATAAAATAATTTAAGTCAAACTTGGTAAGTGGTGAAAAATTTTCTTCATTAAAATATATTCTCAAATATAGTAAACACTGATTTATTTGTAGGATTTTAAGCAATAAGGTGTCTGTTAATTTTTTCTTAGTCACCTCCAGGCTTGAAGAAGAATTTAATGCGTACTTATGAGTCTTGGACTCCTGAGCAAATTAGCAAAAAAGATAATATACATCGAGCTCATGCTCTTTTCAGTTTTGCATGGTTTCATGCTGCATGTCAAGAAAGAAGAAATTATATTCCACAGGTAAGTAAGAACATATCTTGGACATATTCTAAGCTCTACTTTTTTATATATATTAGAATATTTTTGCAATTTAGTATGAATAGCTAGGATTACATTGTAATTTGGCTTGTGATTCATAAATTTATATTTCCAATCCAATCTATTCTGCTAATCTTCTGACTGTATATAGTTACGTACTTCACATTTCATTGAATTTAATTATTAAGAACAATTTGTGACCCATCATAACCCTCAATGAGTATTAGGTATCATTTTTATGGTTTATATCTCACAGACATTTCAAACTTCAAAAACTAAATTCCCCATACCTGTTTTTTTAATGCCCTGTCGGGTCCGCTGCCAGCGGCTGACCCGTACAGCCCTAGCCTCGTTCCTTCAGGCGAGCGAGCAAACGGCCAGGATTACTCTTTCCCTCCTGTCCCCTTTGGAAGGAGACGGGGGAAGAGAGCCGTGAAGAGAGGTGAGCGACCCGTACAGCCCTAGCCTCGTTCCTTCAGGCGAGCGAGCAACCGGCCAGGATTACTCTTCCCCTCCTGTCCCCTTTGGAAGGAGACGGGGGAAGAGAGCCGTGAAGAGAGGTGAGCGACCCGTACAGCCCTAGCCTCGTTCCTTCAGGCGAGCGAGCAACCGGCCAGGATTACTCTTCCCCTCCTGTCCCCTTTGGAAGGAGACGGGGGAAGAGAGCCGTGAAGAGAGGTGAGATGTCAAGAAAGAAGAAATTATATTCCTAATGTCACTTAAGGTGGCGTTAGTTTTTAAGGCCCGACAATGCCCTACTCAGTAAAAATTTTTTAATGCCCTACTCATTTATATACATTTATTTCCTCAAGAGACAAACCCAAGAGTTTTTCTTGGTATGTTTTTTTTTCTTAGCTTCCCTATCCAATCTATTATCAAATCCTGTTGATACTGCTTCTAAAATGTAATTCAAATCTCTGCATTATTTTCACTATTTTTTCCAATCTTCATCACCTCTCACCCGTACTACTTTGTGAGCTAGCCTTGTAACTGCTCTTCCTGCTTTTTGTATTTAGCAGCCAGAATTATCTTTCTAATATGTATTTTTTTTTTATTTCATAATTTTGCTTTAACCCCTTCAAATGCCTTTCTGCTATACTTATGATGGACATGTTTTTTAGCAGTTTTGTATTTTTGGATGGGCATACATATTCTTTTCAGCCTTTGCTATTACAAATACACGTCATAATCTATATCCGTATGCTTGCTTCATTTAACAACTATTCGTGGTGATCACTTCCTAAACTTGGAATGTTTGGATCAAAGACTATGTGTATAGTAAAAAATTTATAAATATTACCAAGTTGCTTTCCACACAGGATACAACTATCCAGTTTTCCACAAAAAATTGTTTAAGAATGTTATTTTTTTCACACCATAAGTTTGCTCTCATAAAAATCATTAAATCGGAGGTGAAAGGAGACAAAATATAGAACACTATTGAATTGCTAGAGACTATGTCATAGGGATTATATATTAAGTAACATTGACAGCAACAGTCTTCTAATTTGGGAGGGGTTATAAATATTGATCTTTAAGGTATTTGAAAACTTAAAAAAATAAACTTTTTCACAAATAAGATCTAATAGAATGATAAAAGGAATGTTAATAAGACTGTTTTGAGTTGGTAGAAAATTTAGTTAATATGTTATAGGAATCTTGTTAACTGTATATGGGTACACCTTCCTTGCAGATCTTTATTCATATAAATAAATAAATAAATATAATAAGTAAGTGAAGTTAAATCTCTTTTGTTTTCACAATATCCAGAATATTCTTTTTTAAAAAATAATTTTCTATATACTGTTGGCCCCCAAATTTATGCATTTAGCTCAGGTCAATTCTCTAAACTCTAGGTTTTTATATCTAACTACTCATTTGACTTATTTGGTTGGATGTTTAAAAAATGACTGAAAATCCACATATTCTGGATCAAGTAGTACACTATAAGCTTCCTAAGAGCACAGATTGTGTCTTTTCTGTTCATTGCTATATTGTCATTGACCAAAACAGTGCTTGGTATATAGCAGATACTTCATAAGTTTCTGTTTAATGAGTTTTGTTTAAAAGTTTTGTTAAACTTGTGTTTAGTGATCTCATATTTCTTCCCAAACATTGAATTTTTTTAGTATTCCACTTATTAATGAATGACCACCATCCATTTGAATAAGTCATAGCTTAGAGGTCATACTTAACAGCTCTCCTCTTGGTATCTTCACTCTCCGTTACAGTCCAATACAAAAACTCTGTTTATTTTCTTTTCCTAACTAGTTCTCAAATCTGTCTACTTTTGTCTTTCTGTCTATTCTAACCCCCTCCTCAGCAGGGTGACTTTCCTTAACTTCTTAGATTAGGTCAGATCTCTTTCCTATACCAGGTATGGTTTTTTCCATCAAATTTATTATAGTTTGTAGTTGTAGATGTATTTGAGTGATTGTCTACACCCCACTTCTCCCTACATTTGACTGAAAGCTACATGAAGGCAGGGATTAGTTATGTTTTTGCTTTATTCTTATATTACCAGAACCTAACATACAACACACATTTAAGAAATATTTTTTGAACGATGGATGAATGAATGAAGTTTGTGTCAGTATTCCTAAATACTATCCAAGTCTAAATATATTTTAGTTTAAACTTATTTTATTATATAGAACTAATTAGTGACAGTTAGTGGAAGCCACATAGAAATTATTTTTAATTATGTTTTACATTATTTTTTACACATGTAGAGCTCTCTGAATGTTGTTTTTGTACAGCATTGTAGCTATTATACTTTATAATTATATTTAGTTCCAATATGAATACTTCGAGGGTTCAATATGAATGATTGTATAGAAAACAATGCTATATGCTTTAGGGCATTCCTCCCCCAGCCCCCCGCAGTATTTCTATTTTTGTGTTTATGGAGAAAATCCATAATACTGAGGGATAAAATTATAGGAAATATTTCAATGTGTACACAGTAAGTAGAATAAAAAATTTACTGCATCAATTTGTTCTCTCTGTCTCTGACTATATTGCGACATACTTAAAGGATAAAAACTAATATGGTAGTATAAAGTACTTTTCATGCTGTGGAGGTCAGTAAATTTGCTGTTTAAAAATTTTTTTGGTTAATTTAGATTGTGTATTGATTTTATTAAAATTCTTGGGTTTTTTTTTTTTAGTATATATTGAACATTTTCTTTAAGACTGTAATACAGTTGTGCATACATATATATGTTTGAACACTGCTTAGTTTTTTACTGTTCTTTAAATTTGTTTTGACAGGGTTGGACCAAGTTTTATGAGTTTTCTTTATCTGATCTTCGGGCTGGGTACAACATCATTGACAGACTCTTTGATGGTAAGTTTTAACTATGAAAATTTTTATCTCTGTTAATGAAAATTTTTATTTGAGGTCTTATTAACTATATGGTTTCTTCAGAAGTGGCTTAACTTCCTATCACAAAATTTGCTTTTTATTTTGTTTTTTATGTCCCGACTGCCATGCCTGTGGTATGTGAGGGTTCTTATATTATCTCTTGTGGTCATTGGTTTGATATAACCTATTAGGTTTCTGATTGATCTGTAGCTCTCAGGAAGCAAGAAAGAAGTTGTCTTCACTTCATGGCCTTCAAAAGTTCTTTGCTTCTATTGAGTTATTCAGATCTCTTTCAAGGGAACTGTTAAAATTCAGGAATGGAAAACTAAGTTCAGTGCCAAGGATTTGTGGAGTCATAGTTGAATTATTAAGTAGGACTCAGGAATCAAGGTATAAACAATAGATTGGAATAGTGCAGCAGAAAGACCATCCCCTATGCTCTCTAGTTCTCTGCCTCCTTGAAGACAGCGATAGTCCAATCCCTAAAATTTATTGTGGATGGCCAAAGCAAGGAAGGGGACACTAGAGTTTAGACCAATGATGAATTAGAGAACAGAATATGTTGATAAGAATCTTAAACATAAAAGTGTCACAAACAAATCTCTCAATTTCTGTCTCTCTGCCCCCCAACCTACAACCCGGCCAGACCACTCTTCCCTGAGTCTGCCCCATTACAGTAGATGGCATCACCATTCATGTAGTTGTTCAGCCTCAAAACCTGTGAATCACCCTGGATTCTCTTCTTTTTCTCGTCCTCAAATATCCAGTGCTTTGGCAATTTCTGTCTCTTCCATTTGCAAATCACATCATGATTCTATTCATTTCTTTTCAACTTCTTTATTGCCTTGATAGTCCAAGCAATAACTGATCTTTTTACTTGATCTTCTTACTTCCGCTTTAGCACCCTTTCAAACATTCTCCATACTGTAAACAAATTTATTTTTTAGAAAAGCAAACCAAAGTGTGTTAATTTTCCTGTTTAAAACCTGCAGCCACATTTGTTATCTTTCTGTTCCTCAAACAAGCCAAGCTTGCTCCTATCTGAAGGTTTTAGTAGGTGCTCTTCCTTCTGCCTGAAATGCTTTCCTCCTGGAACTTTATATGGCTTTGTTCTTTTCTATCATTCATTTTTCAGCTGAAGGGTACCCTCTTCAGAAAAGGTTTTTCTCACCACTGAATCTAAAGTAATCTTCTAATCATTCCCTATTCCTTTATTTTATTGTTTTAATACATCAGTACTACGTAATATCTTCTTGTTTGTTTATTCATTATTTTGTTGCTCTCTTCCCACTTGAGTGTAATCTACATTAAAGCAAGGTCTTCATCTTATTTACTGTGTATGTATTAACATTGGTAGCAGTGTCTAGCCCATCACAGGCATTCAATTATTCTTTGAGTTAATAGCATCAGAAATTATTCTGTGACTTCTCTTTGGCAAAAGGATAAGGATGAACAGCTAGGATATGATCAAGTCCCAGTTTAATTTTTATGTGTCTGAGATTAAGAAAACTTTTAATGTAGTATAATATATATTCAAAAAAGTTCTTACAAGATTACAGCTCAATGAAATTTCCATAAACTGAACACATCCATGTAGCCAGCACCTTAATCAAGAAATAGAACATGATCAATAGCACAGATTCCACTCCATGTAACGTTGCCTTCCAGTTGCTATCATCCCCCAGCTTCCCCCACCCCTGCTCCTGAGGTAAACACCAAATACCTAACTACATAAATTAGTTTTGCCTGATTTTGTAAAACTGGAATCATACAGCATATGTTTTAGTGTTTAAATTCCTTCAGTTAACTATATTTGGTAGATTCATCTGTAGGGTTGTATCTATTTGTAGTCCATTTATTCTCAATTCTCTATAGCATGCCTTGTGTGATTATATGTACCTCGGATGGCCTTGTGGGTAGTTTTCAGTTTGGGTTGATTATGAATAATGCTGCTGTATTTTTAGGTGAATATATAGACATATTTTTGCTGGGTATATGTAGGAGTAGAATTGGTAGGTCATAGGATATGCATTTATTCATCATTATTAGTTAATGCCAAGTAGTATTCTAAGTGATTTTTATGTTTATTTAAAAAAATTTTTGAGTTATACACAGAAAAGCGCACATAAATGCACAGTTCAATAAATTTTCATAAATTGAACCTAACTAGCCCCAAATAAAAGAGTAATCCAGAAGTACCTCACCTCTATTTCTTTTTAATATAAGACCTAACATTGCCCCACCTTGTGCAACTGTAACTACTTTTCTGACTTTCATGAGCTGTTGTTTTTAGTGTGTATTTTTACACAGAATTTTTTGGAAGATATACACTAATACTTTAGCTTACATAGAAACTTAGTAATTTTCCAAAATGTTTTTGAACATTTATCTGACTTTTATAATACCACTATGAGGCAAGTATTATTAGTGCAGATGCAGAAACCAAAGCACAGAGAATTTGAATGATTTATCACTGTATTTTAAGCTTGTGATAGAATTAACAGCATCCTGTGATTTTTACATATATCATACCACTGAATTGTAAATAAAGAGCAGATGCTTTAAAATGATATTGAGTCTCATGATAAAAATCTAACTGTTTAATCTTATGATTACAAAATTTCCTGATGTCAATGGACCTCCACATATGTAGAATTAAATGCAAAAAAAAAAAGAGAAAAAGTTCTGTCAGAGGTAATTGTATAGAGATTAATAGCCATGTGACCTTGAGCAAGTTTCTTAATCTTTAAGCCTGAGTTTCCTGATCTGTCCAATGGGAATAATAGTAGGGACTGCCTCAGTTTGTTCAATTCTCAAGAGGTTTAAGTGAGAAAAGCCACATGAAGCATTTAACATTTAGTACATTTAATATATCAAGTGAAGCTATCAATAACATTTGGCTGTTATTATTATTGCTATTGTTATAATTTAAGTTCTGTTCATTTTCTTTTATCTGGAACAACATAAAATGTTTTTTGAGAACAATTGTTATTAGAAGAATAAGATTTTCTTATAAATGTTCTATAAAATGTTTCAATTAATGGCTGCTTTTTCTATTTTGTATATTGAAGTGTACACTGTTTCTGTGTTCCTTAGGGACCTACTTATCAATGACTGGCATTTCTGTTAGTAATGCATCATTTAGTGAATATCAAGGCAAAACTAGAAAATTGAATCTTGACGAAGTCCTCTGCTATTTAGCCACTGTTGATAGTAAGACATAGGCAGGAAATAACTTTAATTATTCCTCCACTGTATAGGTGTCCTTATCCTGCAGGAAGCAACCTAAATCACTTATGTCCAAAGGCATTTTAATAACACTGCCATCAATTTTTGTAATTATCTCTGAATTTCATAGAATAAAATAGAACTAAACTAGTAATGCTAATAATAAAGTGAGCTAGTTGGTTTAAATATGTTTCCTATATTTACTGTAGATCTAATGTTTAATTCTTAAATTTTAACATTACCACTAAATTGTGATTATGAGGATGTCTCTGTTGCAAAATGAAATAATATCTTATAGAAAAAAGTCCCGTTGTGGTTTTTATACTATATTTCTCTTCTATGAGATTAGAAAATGGATGGTTGACTAAGTAAAAATCATATAGATTTTACATTTAGACATTTAGAAGAGTATAATGTGTGAAGGGGTTTTGTACAGTTTTCCTATTCAAATTATTTATGAACTGAGTGTTTTATCAAATGTTGAATAAAATCATATTTTTGATAGGTTCTTTTGAGAAGTTTCCAACTTGAGTAGGCAGTATTATGTGGAAGATAAGTACAGCTGTGGATTCAGAACACCTCATTACCATTTCAGATTTCTGGTGTTGTGTAACTCTCATTTTGGCAACCCAGCCTCCCTATGGCTCAATTTCTCTATCCGTACAATTGGATGATATTACATACTTCTGTGTTTGCTATGAGGATTGAGTTTATACATATAAAATATTTGGAAAATTTTGCTTGATTAAATGATCTCTCAAGAAATATTACAGTTAATATCATTTCAAGAAACGATTTAGTTGTATTAAGTATACATTGTTATATCCTATAAATATAGCTGGAGTCAGGAATTTAGTTAATATTTTGGGAATGAAATTAATAGAAGGTTTTTTTTAATTATAGGTACCAAAGATGTACAATGGGAATTTGTACACGGTTTACTTGAAAATGCTATTTATGGAGGACGTATAGATAACTATTTTGACCTTAGAGTTCTTCAATCATACCTGAAACAGTTTTTTAATTCTTCAGTAATTGATGTATTAAACCAAAAGAACAAGAAAAGCATTTTTCCGTATTCCATATCTCTACCAAAATCCTGCAGCATTTTGGTAGGTAAAATTAATTGTTTTCAATCTATTACCAGATAAATATATGAATCATTTCTTTCGTTGTTAAATATGTTATTTCTTTTCAAATGCACAAGTAATTACAGTGTGGATTACTATTTGTTATGCCAATATACGATCCTGTTCTCTAAACTCTAGCAAGGTATTCTATAAACATTTGGTTAGTTACTAAAGATTAATTGATGATCGTAATGATAATAGGCTAGTGTGTAGGCAAATATTGAGGGGAGTAGTCAAGGAAAGTACAAAGAATGTAGAACTGCTGTCAAGAGCTGGATTGGAAGAATATGCTACTTCCTAGTAGGCATGAGCATACTTTGATATATTGAAAAATATGAAAGAAGCTGAATATTATTTAACAAATCTCCATCTTCAGTTTTTGGTTTGTAAACTTAAAGCAGGTCTAAATATATAAAAGGGATTTACTTTATCTGTCTTTCACAGCAACATTTTTGTTTATGTGAATTTATTTTAGTCAGCTTTTTGCCTTGAGTCATCACATAAAAGCCTCCTAGAATGCAGTCATCTTTTCCAGAAAATAGTATCAAATATAGCACAGACACTTCAATTCTAGTTTATTTTGCCATAAACCTATATTTGTTAAAATACCCAAATGTTTTTATTACATAGAGTATTAGAATTATATGTTTCTTCATGAATTACAAAGGTATATACTAGAGTACTTCAAAAAGGTTCATGGAAAAATAGAATTACAAGATAGTATGACTCTTTTCATGAACTTTTTTTTAGTACCCAGGTATGTATTCAATTATGTCATTCTCTCCATTTCGTGCTATTTTCTCTGATCCAAATAATTTTCAAGAAAATTCCCTTATTTCAGTAACATCATTGTCAAAAACAAAAGCTTAAAAACAATATTCAATATATTACTCTTATATCTTATCTATTATGTTATTAATTATCCCATCTATCTTGTTTTTTAGTATCTTTCATTTACTTGTTCAATGCATATTATTGAATGAATATCAGCTCAGTGATATCCCTATTCCAGGTATTGTGAATCCAGTGATGCATCTGGGGAGTTTATGTTCCAATAGGAGAACTTAGAGTGAATGTGCAAACAAAAGTATATCACAGTTATTTATTATTTATTTCAGATGGTGTACCTCAACAAGTCTTCCATCTCTATAGTTTGAAGATTAAATTGAAAAATAAAATTCATACAGAAACGTGCACATCATAATAAATGTACAATGCAATGACTTTTTATACATTGAACTTATGCTTGTAGCCAGAACCAGGATCAAGAAACAGAACATTATCAGCTCCCCAAAAGCCCTCCTCATGTTCCCTTCTAGTTACTACCTCCCCCACAAGGGGTACATTTTCCTGACAGCCTGCATTAGTTGTGCCTTTTTTATACACTGTTTATATAAATACTATCATATAGTATGTATTCTTTTGGGTCCAAGTGAGGATAAATCAGTCTGGATATGGAACTGCCTGTCATTTAGTCAGCATAATGATGTTCAGTGCTGGGTAGACAGAAGACTTAATCCAGTCTACATGAGAAGATTTCAGAGCTATTTTGAAATGAACAAAGCGTATAACTCTACAAAGAGTAATAGTTTTATACTTATACGATAATTTATGAGAATTACTATTTAACTCTTTATCCAATTCAGTTGGATAGAAGGAGGAAGCTAAAAATTTCCCAGGAGGATGAGAACATACATGCATGCTTGCTTGTATGCACACACCTGTGCATTTATACAAACATATATACTTGTGTACATGTACATATGTACATATATATTTATACATATATACATTGTGATTGAGTACCTTGAGGAAGTTTACAAATGTTGAGCTAAAGAAGAGGAAGAATTTCAAAGGACAGCATGTCTTTCTAAAATTTGACATATTTACAAGTCCTGGTCTTCCTGGAATCCAACTGTCTCCTTGAAAATACTTCTGGGGCAGCTGTCAAGGATGAAATAGGATGATGGGAAATCAGAGGATGAGTCTTCCCATCCCAGCATCAGCAAGCACAGTTTAGACACTTATTCAATACCTGCCTTAAAATAATTTGTCTCTTCATGAATACAAACAAAACAATTCTTATCTTTGGGCCAAAGTAAATAAATCCTCTTGGTTTGCACTGGTTTTTCATGTAAAGTCATTAGTAAATGACTGTTCAGTTGAATGGTCAACAAGTTCAGCTTCTGCAATGCTTACAGTAATTCTTAGGATGAAGTGATAAGATTATTAATGCATTTCATCACAACTCACCAGCAAGCTGAAGGCAAACTGTGGAATTGTTTTCTGATAAGGTGATTTACAAAGCAGTGTTTTGCATACCAAACTATTTCTATAAGTTTACAGAGTTTCTCTAAGTACAAAAACAAGATTGCTGGAATATTTTTTTTAAATTGAAGCATGATTGATTGTACATATTTTGGGGGGTAAAGGTCATAACCTTGACCCCAAAGTCATTTGAACATACAACCTTCTGATATGGAATGAGACGCACTGCCACTGAGCCATGAAGTCCTTGCTAGAATATTGCATTCTGCAAATTGGTCTTTGGTAGGTTACAGAAAAAAAAAATTAGAGAACTTTCCTAAAAACATTTAATAAATATATCTTACACATAGTAGGCATAACCACTCAAATATGTGTTTTAATCATTTCAGGGTCCCATTGTATGTAGGATGTTAGGATAAGAAAATATCAAATAATTGAAGTACAAAGAAATATTAATAACAGAATATTTTCAATAGAGAACTGATATCATACAAATATACAAAGTGAGATTTACCTATAAAATATGAATAACTAATAATTAAAAAATTTACTAGATTCTTTCTTTCTGATTTCAGTGGTTATAAATTCAATCTTCAATGAAAACCTGTTTTTCACTTCTTTATGTTTAGGACTATCGTGCTATCATTGAAAAACTTCCAGAGAATGACAAACCTAGTTTCTTTGGTCTGCCTGCCAACATTGCTCGTTCATCTCAGCGCATGATCAGTTCTCAGGTAACCTAAAAAAAGACCTATCTTTTAGAAAAAATGTTGCTACTGAGCCTGAAGGACACAACATTAAATTTTATTTAATACCAAAGACCCCACAGCTTTTACTTAAGATCTTTATTTCACTTAAAACATATTCTAGTTTTATCTTAAATTTTAAATGTACCAAATAGTTTTATCTTAATATATTTACTAAAATTAGTAAAATAACATTGAGTAATATCAATTTCATCCAAAATATATCTGTTATATTTTTATTGTGATTTATTTTATTATGGTTACTTTAAATGTAATTTATACAATTGAACATGTCACTGTATTTAATATTTTCCTAACAGGTACCAGATATAGATATATAATTTACATTCATGTATTAGCTTATAAAAGATTAACATTTAATATTTCATACTGTTTAACTCAAGATTGAATATTGTAAAAATTGGGATTTTTAAATTATTGAGATGTAGAGAAATGTTAGCCATGAACAATGTATGTGCTAGGTTCTTTTTATTTTTATTTATTTATTTTTCACTGATCTAAAGAAAGGTGAATAGGTTCTATTTTGTCAACATCAAATAATTAAGAAGAGCTATCAAATGGCCTCTTACACTGTGCTTGAAACTGTTGTAAGTACTTTATAGGCAGGAACTTATTTAATCTTCATAGACTATATGAGGTAAGAACTATTATTTTCCCCTTTTAACAGGTAAGGAAACTGAGACAAAGTTAAGTACCTTGCCCAAAACCATAGTCCAGTAAGAGGCAGAACTAGAATTTAAACTCAGATTGTCTAAATAAAGAGATGGTCCTCTTCACTATGTACTGCAGCTGCCCCTCAGGCATGAATGCACTGCTAAGTAATTTGCACCATTCCAGGAGCATGGACTTAAGAACTGTTACTGAGGGTTCATTGTGTGGTCAGTATGTGGAAAATTCTTACCACCTTTTACTATTTACTTGGCATTTTACAGGCATTCTAGTTAGATTATGTTTTCCTACTTAACTATACAGTTTCATATTTTATTGTTATTTTAGCCAAAATTTATAAAATTGACGGTGTTTTCTCCCTTTTTAAATTATGTTGTCTGGGGCCGGCCCGGTGGCGCACTGCAGAGTGCGCTGCTTGGGAGTGCGGCGGTGCTCCCGCCGAGGGTTCAGATCCCATGTGGAGACTGGTTCCCGCTCACTAGCTGAGCGCGGTGCGGGCGCAGCACCGAGGGTTGCGATCCCGTTGCCGGTCCCCGGTATGGGCGTGACACCGAGGGTTGTGATCCCATTACTGGTCAGTAAAAAAGACAAAAAGGAAAAAAAATAAAAATAAAAAAATAAATTATGTTGTCTGTTTTGCAGTTTGAATGCTTATTCTCACATCTGTGTAAAAAAATTTTTTTGAGCATATATTCATTAAAATAAATATAAATGTTCTCTGGAACAAATAAGATTTTAACTCCTCTTCATCTATGCCAGCTGAAGACTTGCTCCTTTCTTATACGAAGTGTTATATCAGGTAGCCTATGAAAGAACGTAAAGTTCTGCATGTCTCATAGATTTATAACATAGGGGTTTACATCTAGTCATTTTCCTCTTTGCTTTTTAGTTGACCTGAAGTAATTATTTTTTAATACCCCTACCAATAATATATAAGAATTGTGTGTGTGTGTGTGTGTGTGTACACTGGCCCTTCATAAATATTCTCCTGATATCAGAGGTAAACCTGAAAGTATTTTATGTAGAAGTACACTGCTGATCTAGGCTTATTTTTCTCTCTGTGTGTGTGTGTGTGTGTGTGTATGTGTACACACTGGCCCTTCATAAATATTCTCCTGATATCAGAGGTAAACCTGAAAGTATTTTATGTAGAAGTACACTGCTGATCTAGGCTTATTTTTCTCTGGCTTCTTTTAACATTTAAACTCAAGTTCTTTATGTTTTTACTAAGATGCACAGGTGTGTGTATATGTATATTTACTTACTATATTTGTATATATACACATATGTATGTATTATACACACCTGTATATATTCTTACTATATATGTATATACACACGAAATTTTATAATGCTTAAACAAAAAAGGTTAAAATAACGAAAAGTTCATTAAAAGAACAAAGGTTTATTTCACAGAATCCAAGAAAGGGTTTGCTTTGGAAACCTCATTAGTAGAAGTTCAAGAGCCTTCTCTTTAATGCTCTGTTACTAACTGAACATGGCTTCTGCAACTTCTAGTCTTAGCATCATTCAGCTTCTGGGGGAATCTGATTTAGTGCAGCTTGGATCGAATGTCTAATGAAGGAAATAGGATAACACAGAATAGATTCAGCCTTAGAGACTTTAGGGAAAGAGTCAAGACAAGAAATGCGAATGTTGAGTATGTTTGCTGCCATTGACAAGAGCTAAGGGTGTGAGGGTCGTCTTGGCTCTGAGAAGCCACAGCTTTAGTTTTCCACCATCTTCTATCTCATTTTCGTTATGTAGGTTCAAAGCTTGCATACCAACACACAGCTCCCCAGTCTAAAAGAGTTCCAGGATCAGGGGTTTCATAGCAAACTAGACAGATAAAGTATTCCATACTTATTTTAACTCTGTAATTTCTAAGGAAATAAAAGCAGGAGAAGATAGTCTGCAGTGTTATTTCCCCAGGAAGTCCTGAGACAACCCAAGCTTCATTTTATTTTTTACTCTAGTATACCAAATATTCTCCTAAAGTTATCTTAATATGATCTGGTCTCTACTGTTTTGTCTTGCCTTAGTATTGAAATTTTATTTATAAGTATTTGTTGGATGAAAAGAGGATGACATATTCTTCCAAAAGTTTTCTGGTAACATATACTTTCTTAATATTTGTATTTTAACTGTCAACCTATATTCCACTACTTATTTAAGTATTTAAAAGTTCTTAATTATCATATTTTTTACTTAAAACAACTTTCCCAATATGTCAGTTACTACAGCATCTTGTTTTTGTAATTATAAAGATGTATGTAGTTAAACTAATAATATTTCTATATTTAAAGCATATATTTAGAGATATTTTTACTTCAAGTCATATTTAGAGACACATTTACAATGCTTGCCCTTATTTGAAAGTCTGACTTGACACTAAGTATGTGAATCTACTTGACACCAAGTAGATTAAGAAAACATTAGTGATCAAGCTCAAGTTCAGGGTTGAGAAGACTGATACTGAAGCAGGTATTTATTTGATTAGGGTTTTTAAAGACAGAGGCCAGTGCCAAAGTTATATAGCCAACTTGTACAAATATGAAGGCTTAAAATGAATTGAGTACATTCATACAAGGCAGTAACCAAAAGTGTCATTTACTACAAAGTGTTAATGATATATTTATGTACAGGTGCTGTGTTTCATCAGTTACCAGCTTCCCCACCCTGCCTGTGACCTGCTGCAGTGTACACACCATATAGTGTACTCATCCACATCAGTTAATACACTCTCTTTTTCGTTCACCGTTTCCACTGTGTTGCAAATGCTTTATGTGGATGATGTTGCATTAATCAAAATGGAAAAAGTCTAAAGAAAAAGATTGAGTTTTATTTTTGATGGTGGGGAGGGGAAGAGATCAATTTGGTGTATTAATATGAGGTGCTCATGGAATATTTATTTGGGGTACAAATGGAATATCTTGGAAATGTCTAGTAGGAATTTGGACTAAATTAACATAGTAGAGAATTTAGATATAGATTTGATTAAATAAAGATTTGACAAGCAGCAGCAGATCTGTGAGAGAGGAAGCCATGGGAGTCAGAGATTGCTACAGAGCATTGATAAAGCAGAAAGGAAAGATGCCTAAAGGTAGAATTTTGGAATATATCTATATTTAGCACATATTTAGAGCTGGAAAACTCCTTGAAAGAATTTTGGCAAGAGTGAGCTGCAGTCGGAATAAGACAATCAGAAAAGCTTTAAAGAAGAAATTTGAGGAGATGGGAGTGGGTGGTGGTTGGGGAGTGGGGTAGGAGGACTAAGTGCTAAGGAATGGTTACTTAGAGCTCAAATTAAGTCAGGGATGTTGATCAGTGTTTCAAGACCCTTTCTAGAGTATCTTCTATAGAATGTTGAAAGGTGGAAATCAAATAGCAGTGATTGGGAGGAGGTGGGGGGAGTGAGTAAGAAAGTGGTACAAGTGAATATAGAAATATTATAAAATTGTATGTGTAGAAAAGATAGAATTATTATAAGATTATATGTTTAAATAGGTTTCCGAAAATCTTAGGTGTGTCATCCAAACCCCTTTATCCTATACTGGCCCTCCCAACAGGGAAGCCTATATGATTCTGTGGTAGGAAGTGTATGCATAGATATGGGTGCAGGTATGGGTGCATGTGGGTGTTTTTATTTTTAATGTGGGATATGGATTTGGTGGTTTTCCCTAAGAAGTTGTTCCTAAAGATGAATTTTAAGTCTTGTGTATCTTAGCTTATTTGTCAAAATATCTGATAAATAGAATAAAGCTATTAGAAATTTTTAATGATCATCATAATCATTAAAGGACCATGGAAAATTAGCTTTTATCTCGTACAGAAATTCCTTTTTCTCTTTTAAAGCAAATTTGGTGTTGAAAAAATCTGCAATAAGTTTAACTGTAGGAGGTTTCTTTTAATTCAGTAATACTACAGTTTTCTTTAACCACTATGTTTTCATCCATTTTTTAATTTTTATTTTTCCTTTTTATGTTTGCATTTGTTAATAATTATGCATTGACAGCACATTCTCCGGGCTAAGAAAACATGCAGCATGTTGCTTGGAAAGAAATGATGTGAAATTTGTTATTTTTGAATAAAAGGTCAGAAAAATTTGGAAAAGTTTGGCTTTGGAGATGTCCTCACTAATTTAGTAGTTTAAATGAAATTGAAATACAATAAAATCTTAATTAAAAAATGTTTCCATCTCTTCTAATTAATGTCTGAGGCAAACAAGCTAATCTATTCTAGTCTCTTAACTGGGTAGCTATGTGTCTAGTAAAACTTTGGGGATTCTGCTAGTAAAG